TAGTCAATCAATGGTTCTCTTTCAAATATTTGTTTAGATATTTTACAATGGGGGATTCGCTAGGATCACCTACTCTTGGAAGAACATATCAAAAGCATCTGCTAATTCCATTACCGCGAATTGCCCTGCAGTAATTTATTAAACCTACCCCTATTTCCTCTTTCTGGCTCCTTACCCTCAAGTCAACAAAAACTGTGACATTCTATAGAATCTTCTCTTATTAGAGTGCTTATTAAGTTCCACGAATTTGTCACTTCTTTCAGTTCTTCCAAAATTTCTGTAAGAGGTCTACTTTTAAAGCAGATCTAACAACAGAGAAAAGACGACCGTTTTATGGAGTTTTAGAACTAAGAGCTGGATTCAATCCGTATCGTAGAAGTAATTAAGTATGTTAAAAATCTGATTTTCTGTGTTGGAATGGTGTGGGTGTACCCCAACAACAGAATGGTATGGGCGTATACCAGCTATAAAAAATATTAATGCCACTAGACCGCTGATTGGCCAGCTCAGCCAATGAGCCAATATGACATGTTCTATGAGGAAATAGCAAGCATTTTTGAAATGGTCTGTATGAGATACAAGTTTGAGGTGGGGTTTTGAAGTGTTTTTTCTCCAATTTATGCATTGGCCACAAATACGAGTATAGGACGAGTCAACAACATTATTTGGGTATGAGTTAACAGAATATGAACTTTTAAAAGTGAGATTTTCACTGGACAGTTACAGTGGGGGAAGAAAGTATTTAGTCAGCCACCAATTGTGCAAGTTCTCCCACTTAAAAAGATGAGAGAGGCCTGTAATTTTCATCATAGGTACACGTCAACTATGACAGACAAATTGAGAAAAAAAATCCAGAAAATCACATTGTAGGATTTTTTATGAATTTATTTGCAAATTATGGTGGAAAATAAGTATTTGGTCAATAACAAAAGTTTCTCAATACTTTGTTATATACCCTTTGTTGGCAATGACACAGGTCAAACGTTTTCTGTAAGTCTTCACAAGGTTTTCACACACTGTTGCTGGTATTTTGGCCCATTCCTCCATGCAGATCTCCTCTAGAGCAGTGATGTTTTGGGGCTGTCGCTGGGCAACACAGACTTTCAACTCCCTCCATAGATTTTCTATGAGGTTGAGATCTGGAGACTGGCTAGGCCACTCCAGGACCTTGAAATGCTTCTTACGAAGCCACTCCTTCGTTGCCCGGGCGGTGTGTTTGGGATCATTGTCATGCTGAAAGACCCAGCCACGTTTCATCTTCAATGCCCTTGCTGATGGAAGGAGGTTTTCACTCAAAATCTCACGATACATGGCCCCATTCATCCTTTCCTTTACGCGGATCAGTCGTCCTGGTCCCTTTGCAGAAAAACAGCCCCAAAGCATGATGTTTCACAGTAGGTATGGTGTTCTTTGGATGCAACTCAGCATTCTTTGTCCTCCAAACACAACGAGTTGAGTTTTTACCAAAAAGTTCTATTTTGGTTTCATCTGACCATATGACATTCTCCCAATCCTCTTCTGGATCATCCAAATGCACTCTAGCAAACTTCAGACGGGCCTGGACATGTACTGGCTTAAGCAGGGGGACACGCCTGGCACTGCAGGATTTGAGTCCCTGGCGGCGTAGTGTGTTACTGATGGTAGGCTTTGTTACTTTGGTCCCAGCGCTCTGCATGTCATTCACTAGGTCCCCCCATGTGGTTCTGGGATTTTTGCTCACCGTTCTTGTGATCATTTTGACCCCACGGGGTGAGATCTTGCGTGGAGCCCCAGATCGAGGGAGATTATCAGTGGTCTTGTATGTCTTCCATTTCCTAATAATTGCTCCCACAGTTGATTTCTTCAAACCAAGCTGCTTACCTATTGCAGATTCAGTCTTCCCAGCCTCGTGCAGATCTACAATTTTGTTTCTGGTGTCCTTTGACAGCTCTTTGGTCTTGGCCATAGTGGAGTTTGGAGTGTGACTGTTTGAGGTTGTGGACAGGTGTCTTTTATACTGATAACAAGTTCAAACAGGTGCCATTAATACAGGTAACGAGTGGAGGACAGAGGAGCCTCTTAAAGAAGAAGTTACAGGTCTGTGAGAGCCAGAAATCTTGCTTGTTTGTAGGTGACCAAATACTTATTTTCCACCATAATTTGCAAATAAATTCATAAAAAATCCTACAATGTGATTTTCTGGATTTTTTTCTCTCTCAATTTGTCTGTCATAGTTGACGTGTACCTATGATGAAAATTACAGGCCTCTCATCTTTTTAAGTGGGAGAACTTGCACAATTGGTGGCTGACTAAATACTTTTTTTCCCCACTGTACTTTAAGAAAGTTAAAGAGAAAAGTGTGGATTGCTGTCTCTCCTTGTACATAGACGGCTTTCAAGGCAAGGAAACCCTATTCCCTATTTAACACAGGGTGGAAAACTATCATTAGGGTTAGCGACTTCCATTTATTTGAAAGACTGCAATACAGTTATATACAACCAACAGACCTGAATTAAGCTGACTGATGTATGCAAGTGAAAAAATATGATTGTGGATGGATGTGTGATGCTGTTACAGTGCAATACAGGTTAGTGAGGTCTGACCTCAGAGGCCTTCTTGTTTGAACTAATGAAACATGAGATCCTTTCGAAACAGATGTATCAGCAAAAATGTCTAGGTTTACCAGACCATTTACCATCTGCTTAGTAAGGCATCAACAGAATGGCAAGAGAGCTACCTGTCTGTACATATTACAGAACTTCAAAGTGGGGTTCAGGAATCCTTGGGAGAAGGTAAGCATAGGCTATGTCTGAAAATGTTACTAGCTGTCAAATCCTTGTTGCCTCCGTCCTTGTTTCCTCAACCACCTCTTTACCTTTCAAAGTGCATTGGAGGAGAAGATCCTAGGTCCCTCCCTCGGATCTCCTCCAATGAGCTTTGAGAGGGAGGGCAAGGAATTGACAAAACAAGGATGAACGAAGCATGCATTTAACAGCTATTAACGTTTTCAGAAACAGCCCTGGTGTAAAATCTATCCCGTCTTTTCACTTATCATGGGCTGCTGTCTTGTCACAGCATGGGAACTGGGAAGACTCCTAATATGTTTGAAGTTTCTTTCTGAGTATGGAAACAATCTTTGGGCTAAATTCACCTAAGAGCAACCAATGTGATCTTTTGAGAAAATCACAAATAATGTAATAGTGTTGAAATGGACATTTAAAAACTGCATGGATGGGGATTTGCTCTGAAATTAGGGACTCGGTTCCTCTGGGTCTGCCAAGTACACTGCTGAACCTAATGTCACAATAATACATAGCTGCGAGTCAAGCCTTGCATTGACTCCCAAGCTGATAACCACCTGCTCACTCTCAATCACTACATTGTGCAAACGTGCAACTTCAAAGCCTGTCGAAAAAGAAACCTTCTCTATACTTCAATACTGCAATTCACAATAAATATTCAAGTGAATCCTGTAGGGTAAATTGTGGTAAGATTTTGTTGCACAGTATACCAGTACCACGGTAATATCAAGGTACCAAAATGGCATGATACTTACGATACCAACATTTTAGAATACCGTAGTACCGTTTCATGATACTACCGACTTTTTCAGCCCTACCTATCTAAAGAACCTGCTGGTGCCTGTTATAAAATGTTTAAAAAGTCAGTTTTGTTGATAAATTCAGTTGAATTTAAGGAACAGCCACTAGTCTCTTGTATGCGCAGGTCCAATGATATCCACTTCACTTTCATATCAGGTGTCAGCTGTAATCAGTGCGCTGCATCCTCTACCAGCCCTCACTCACATGCTTCTCTCTGTCTGCTCTTCATGCGAGTCTATTCCTCCGTCAGTTTTAAAAATATATAATTTAGCCCTGATGAGTCTGTTAGATGTGTACATTTGTTACATTGGAGTAGCGCGCAAAGCGAGCAATGTTGATACATAGTATAATTTATCGCCTGTTATAACCAAGCGCATCGACCAGTCCGAGTAGACTTTGCAAGTTCACCGTCATGCAGCGTTAGTGTCAGAGAGATAATAATAATAATAATAATAATAATATGCCATTTAGCTGACGCTTTTATCCAAAGCAACTTACAGTCAAGTGTGCATACATTTATACGTATGGGTGGTCCCGGGGATCGAACCCACTACCCTGGCGTTACAAGCGCCATGCTCTACCAATTGAGCTACAGAGCACCGTTTCGTGACAGGCATGCTTGCAGCTTTACAGCAAAAAAAATTATCATCTCGAGCTAGGCTAAACAGTTCAAAAAATATGACCCATATTACCGGAGATGCCTTTTTTTCTTTATCGGGATTCGCAAACTTTTTATATAATTTCACAAACCATGTCGCGGGCCGTTTTAAACTAATACCGGTTCTTTAATTATTGGTTTGATAACAAACAACGTTGTTCAGTCATGTTCCCTAGCTAGCTAACAACCTGGTAACTTGACAGTAGGTTTAGGCTAATTTGATTGGCACAGGAAGAAAGGAAAAGGGTCTGCTACTCATGAGATGTGCTTCAAAAGGTAGGATTAATATAGGCCTAATGTAAGCCTAATCTATATCAAAAATCTATTACTTTCTGGTGCTCCTTAAATTCTGTTTGGTGCCTATCCTTTTCAAACTTGTGAGCATGGGAGTATGTGTGTTTGTGGGAGGGAGAGTGGTGTGTGTGTGTGAATGAGTGTGAGGGAGACAGAGTGTTGTCCCCTTAATGACAATGTCATGCAGATCATTATGTATGTATATTCCTTCCTCCCATTCCATGTAGGCCTTTGCAAATGAGCCATTCTATGCAGTATTATATTATACACTGAACAGTGTGAAGTTAAATTCAATGTGTTGCATTGAGTAGAAGTGTGAATTTCAGTGACAGGTTTTTGGAGAACGTTTAGAAAATGTGAACAAGCGTCCGGGGCAAACAGGATGCTAGGCCACTGATTTTTTTCCAACATGGTATCGTGATACTTGGCCTGGTATCATTTGTAAAATGTTGGTATCGTGACAAGCCTAGTAAGATTAGAAATACATTGTACGCGTTGGTTATAGTATGGAGAGTACAAAAGATAAAAAAAAGATATACAATTACAACGCAGTCATTATCTTATTGCAATGTGCCTAGTAATAATTGAATTTTAGTTTGATTTGTCACACCTAGGTGAATATTCAAATCAAATGAAAAGGCACAACTAAATGTCTGAAGTTGACTTTAAAAACAAGCACCCCTAAGAAAAGCATTATCAAACTATGGAGTTACATTGAATATCCAACAAAGCTTCATATGGTACAAATCCGATGCACCAAACCACTTTGAACATTTCAACATCAAACTCTCATGGGGATGGTTGGTGACAGTCTAGGAAAAACCTAGGCCACACTGTGCCAAAGTCATAGATGTACTTCCTTGTAAAGAAGTACTGTGTTATTAAGGCAACTCCCCGCCTCGTTGCTGCTTGGAGAACCCTGCCCGAAGTTAAAAAATTCTGATACATGGTAATACAGGGGAAATGTCTACAGCTGTAGAGCCTGACATGTTTTGCAATGTTTTTGTAAAATTGTCACAGTCAATAATGGTTATAGACAACTTTTGTCATTGACCACGCCGTTTTCCGAGAGTTCGGTCTTCATTCAGCCACCCTCCCGGTCCTTGTATTTCCTTCAAAGTTAGAGGACCCATGGCAGGGTTGGAACTAAAACCAACTGCTGCCTTGGCCCTCTGAACTGGGCCTTTCATCCCCTTGTATTCATAGCAGCGTTTCGGTGCGTCTTATGGTGGTTGGTGAAGCCATCTCCAATACTCTTTCTGACAGCATGTCACATGATGCATGTATGTATGTATGTATGAGAGCATGTGTCGAGAGAAAAAAGGTAGAAAAACAACTTTGGCCCATGCATTATCTAACTTGGCGGTGGGTTTCGAAAGTCGGAGCACCCCGTTTACATAGCAATTGACAACCTAGCCATCGTAGGTTTCGCCGCTAGCTTTCTTTATCGGTTTTCTTTCCACAGAACCAAGTGAATGCTATGGTCAGGCATGCTCGTGGCAAACACGAGGCCAGAGTCATTTCGCCCATCCAGCCCATTGAGCCAGGAGGTGACTCCCGGCAGGAAGCTGGAACCTCGTTTGGACTTCCTGTAGGCAGGCAGAGGCCAACGGCCCGTTATCTTTTCTGTCCTCAGGTCCATGACATACAGGAAGTCGGTGTCGAAGAGGAGCGAAAACACCTCGCCGAAGCTGAGCAGGGAGAGGTTGGCAGGGTCCTGCGTTTTGATGACCCTGGAAAGAAGGAGGAGATTCAGCAACTGATTGTTGGCAGGTATAAAGAGCTCCGTTACATTCCATGTATGAACACCCACACAACTCATTTTGTTCGCAACCATGGATATTGTCAGTGATATACTCACTCCAAAGTTCTGAGGATTTTGTGGCTTATTCACAGCAAGTCGTTTTCAACCTGGTTGTTTTGAGGGTTAAAGTTCTGTTTCTATCAGGAAACAAGGCCCTGGGCAGTTTTTACCTGAGGATATCGAAGCTGGCAAAGTCCCACTGGTAGACCCCCAGGTCCGAGCTACAGACAATGTAGCGGCCGTCAAACTGCAAGCGAGGCTGCAGACACACACTACGGTCCTCTGACACAGACAGGGTCTTCAAGCACTTGCAGTTGATTTCCCTGCCTATAGGCCAAACCTGTGAAATAACCAATGATACATATAAACAAATGAATGGGTGTGTGAATATATGCATCTCTGTAGAGATAACACAGCACTGTGGTCAAACATCTTAAGTATTACAGTGACAAAAGACAGAGCACAGGGTCAATTATTGCATGAAAGTTGAAGAAGCAGCAGATGCAAAGAAGCACAAATGAATTAACCATATTACCTTTATTTCATATTTATCTGCACTCAACAGAATGTAGTCACCAGGACAGTGCACCATGGATTCTACTTCACTCTTCTGAAGAATCACCTACACAGGGTAAAAGGTTTGATAGTCTTAAGATGCGAGACAGGTTTGGGTCCTTCATCTAGTATTCTTACACTGGGCAGCTTGCAGTTTGTAGACAGAATGTACCAGCAAAAAAAAATAAAAAAACAGTGAATGTGCTAGATAGGCCTTTGTTATGGATTGCAACACTGCAAAACCTTCTCCTTTCATCCATTTCACAGGCATTTGCACAAGACAATGGGCACAATCACTGATCTACAAATCACCTTGCATCCCAAATATCTACTCATTATGTGATAAAGATTAGCAAAAAAAGTGTTGTGGTATTCTGCCCCAGGTCCTCAATGGATCCCCACAAACATGCTGATTACATTTTCCAATTCAAAATCTGCAGTTGGGCAGCGATCCTGAACGTAACCCAGGACAGGAGGTTGACAGCCAGGTTTACCTTGGTGACCCACTCTGTGTGTCCCGTGAGGGTGTTGAGGCAGGCGCCTGCCGACAAGGCCCACACCTTCACCGAGAAGTCGGCCGAGCCGCTCACCAGCGTGTCCAGGTCATCGTTGTAGTCCACGCTGAACACTGCCAGAGCCAAGGAGAGAGACCTGGCGTTAGTACACCAACACACATGGCTATGCCATTTGTGAACATCATAATTCGTAGCCTTAAGATGTTTTTATTATTGTAAAATAGAGCCATTTAGACCCTGATATGGTCTCTGCAACCGGGCTATGGAGGCTACTTGAAGTGGCAGCTCCCATGCATAAAATCACAGAGTTCATATTTGCCTGTCAATCAAAAACCCACAGATCAGCACAGTCCAGCTGTCTCTAGGAACCACAAGGCACAAGAATGCCTAACTCACAAAAGTTATTTCCTAAAACCCAAATGAACAATGGATGTAACACCCCTAAGTCAGCAACTGGGAAAGGTAGGGACCCCAGCGGTACACTGACCTGCACCCGTGTGACCACGGAACTGCTGGATCTTGACCCCCGTGCTCCACTCCCAGCAGGCGATGGTGTTGTCAAAGGACCCCGTCACCAGCTTCTGCTCGTCAAACTTCACTGTGGCGCAGGTGTGCGTCTGAATGCCGTAGATGCACTGCCCGGTGCGAACATCCCACAGTTTGGCAGAAAGGTCATCGGAGCCTACGAAATAATTTGTGAATTTTACAATGCGGAATTACACACAATGAAACGCTGATGAAGACAGCTTGGCTGTCGAAACGTTGGTGAACTAAATTATTGCATCGGAGCTATTAGAGGTTGCAGCTTTAAAATTGTATTTTAAAGAAAGGTCATCAGAGCCTACGAAATAATGTGAGTTTTACAATGAGGAATTAAACAATTACATGTATGAATGTAACGGCAACATTTTAACAGACTACAAAAGACCTCCAGCAAACTAGCGATTGTTACAGATACTCAATTTTGCACAAAAGGGCAAATTGAAGCATTATTCACAGATGCTAACACCTAAACCTTAAATTCAACCCAACAGAGGCAAAAGACGGCACAGAGTAAAGTAAGAGGGCCGCCCGGTCAAAGTTATGGTAGAACACTGAAGACCACTCCACCACACCCCAGAATGACCATACGCCTATAACCCACCTGTGCAGAGAAGGCCGTCCTTGTAGTAGAGGGCGTAGACGCGCGCACTGTGCCCGATGAGCGACGACGTCTCAAAGGCCTCCTGGTCCTTCAACTGCATCATGCGCAGCTTGGCCTTGAGGTAGACACCCTTCCAGTGGGACGCGTCCTGGATGGAGTCGTCGATGCGCCAGCCCAGGTCCCGGCACACACCCTGCCACACCTCTGTGCACGCGCTGATCACCTGCGGGAGTTACCAAAAACATTATATAGTTAAACCGGAACCAAGGACAAAGAAACCCAAACATACGTCAAATCTAACCGAGGCAAATCTTAGGAGGAAATGTTCAAAATGTGGAGGTCCAATATCCAAGTTAACCTCAGTAATGTTGGAGTAAGTCCCATTTTACAACACACATGTTAAAATAGGTCCTTACTTGCACCACTAGTAAATTTTTTATCTCAATCCTTCAACAAAATGTTATCAGTAAACACGTTTCCATCCAGTTATGCGAGTAAAGTAATACTGTATTTAAAAAAAATCACAACAGCTGTGATGGAAACAGGAAGTTTCGGTAGAATTTTATAAATGCCGACCGAATCTCTTTTGTTCGACATGGTGGGATCTTTGTGTCAGTAAAATTAATTATGCGAGAAATGGCAGTGGAAACGCCTTTATGCGCAAATATTGATATAATAACCAACATATCGCGATGTCACACAATGATATGGATGTGTGGTACTACCACTCGGGAAAACCATGCAGTTTATTAGGCTACTGATTAAATAAGTTATGAACTTCATAGGGTGGTGAAAGTGCACGGTGATCTTGATGCACCTTTCCAATAAATATCGAAGGTCTTATTCTGGTGACATGATGATCGATGCTTGACAAATAAAAATATTCTCAATTTCCATAATAACCTCATTTTACATTTACATTTTAGTCATTTAGCAGACGCTCTTATCCAGAGCGACTTACAGTTAGTGAGTGCATACATTTTCATACTGGTCCCCCGTGGGAATCGAACCCACAACCCTGGCGTTGCAAGCGCCATGCTCTACCAACTAAGCTACACGGGACTATGTGACTAGCCTACCCGCACTGTATCTGCGAGCTGTTGACTAGAGTGCACGTGCCAAGACCAGAGTAGGAACGTTTGTTATTTAACGCAACAGTTTGTGACAAAACTATCGGTACAGTTGAAAATACGATGGAAACACATTGAGAACTTTAGATTTGTATCCGGTAAATGAAAACTTAAGCAAAAAGTACATTGAGTGTACTATGTCGCCACCCACTGATTTTTATCCACAACAAGTCAGTTTGGTCGAAACACCACTGGTTGGAAAATGCACATTTTCTTTATGCGGATTCTAGAATATTCCCATGAAAATCTGTCGCTAGTGTCATATGTGGGAGACCCTGGCCTTATTCAATTACTTGCACACCAGCTATTAACAAATACCCCTTTCACACATACTGAGTTGTACTGTGCTGGCCTGGTTATGCATCCACCAATAGTTGCCGGAACCACACTGGAAAGGTGAAAGTAGAAAGAAAAGAACCAAGCCAGCACAGTATGGTTCGGGTCAGCACGATGGTGTGAAAAGGGTAGAACATGAAGCCTGGGCCACATTCAGTTTCCAAACGTTGTCTAACGTTGCAGATAGAAATGCCATGAATAGAGCCAACATGATTCATTGTTCTTCATGTTTGTCCTACATAACATGTTTTTCTATCTGAACGTTCCAAAACATTGTGTCCTGCTGAACGGGCCCCAGACCTTGGTTGTACTGCTTATACACCACCATGACAGAGAGAGCCTGACCTTATTCCACTGCTTGCACACCAGGCAGCAGGTGAGCAGGGTCTGCGGGTCGAGCCAGTGCAGCAAGTAGAAGGTGAGCTCCAGGGGCAGCAGTCGCAGGAAGTCCCGCTTGAGCAGCGCCTCCAGTACGTTGGACAGGTGCCGAAGCTGGACAGCACCGCTCAGCGAGATGAGTTGGTCCAGGGTCTGGTTGCGCTGCTGGTCGCTCAGTGTGAGGAAAGAGGTGGAGACCGACTCCAGCCACCCCTCAAAGGCCGCCTTCTCCATGGGCACATGAGAACGTCGACCTGCGATTACAGGGTTCAGTAATTATGATAATTCTCTACATACCATTATTATTTGTTTAAAGGTAGACTCAGCGACATGATGTAGATGCAGAAAGTAAACAAACAACTTAGTGGGTAAATGTATGCAACAGCTAAGAGTGTTGAAACGCGAGGCTAAAGTTCTTGATTGTTTTGGTCCCGTGGCTACCAAACTAACAGCGTGAAGCGAATCTGTGCACATGGGTAGATCATGTGTGTGACAGAGTGAAGCATTACATCTCGCTTATCTCAATAACTGCGGTGCTGTTGGTGTCAACGTCATTTCGCCGAGTTTACCTTTAAAACGTGGTTAAAATACATTGTTCTCAAAGATCACCTTTGACTTCATTAACACTACCAACAAATGTCTACCTCAATTGTTTACTTAGGCCTAGCTAGTTACCTACTTGAACGTTACATGTTTAAGGCAACATTAGTTATTAGCTAACTAACGTAGAGACAAGACTGCCTCTTGAGTAGAACATCTACTGTTCTGACTATCTAGCTAGCTTTGCCCCTTTTATTTAAAGTAATAGCTAACAGTTCAAGGAATGTAACTAGGGTTTGCTACAGTTAACGCGTTGTCTAGCTAAGCTAGATAGCTTGGCTGATGGCTAGCTAGCTTAACTAGGCAACGTTAACTTTAGCAAACGCTAGTTACATTCCTTGAACTGTTAGTTGCTGGCTAGCTAGCCAAGTAGCTAGCTAACGTTTGTGTACAATGCACCTTACTACTGAAACTAACGTCAACATTAAGAACATTTACGTGATCTAGCTAGCTATTAGTAAAAAGCTAGCTATAGAAAAGGTAGTAAAACTTACCATTTCCCGTAGAACCCGTATCGGTGGGAGGTATTGTGCTAGCTAGCTCACAAGCTAGCTAGCCAAGGCGGACAGGAAAACCTGTTATTCTTTGCGTTCTACAAAACAATAGAACGCTAGTTATAAATATCAGAATAGTCCATTTTGCTAGATGTCAAAAAGTCGTTAGTTTATCAGCTGAGAAAATAAACGTTACGTTAGCTTTTCTGGCTGGCTAACTGGAATGAGGTCATCTGCTTCTTTCCGAAGTTAACGATTATCTAATGTTAAGCATTCCACGCACCAATACTATTGCATATACAGTCACGATTTACCTAAACGTAGATTAATACATTTACTACCGTTAGGTAGCTATGTCCAATCCAGCTCGATGGATGCATCCACTAAGGTAATGATGCACCCATAGAGATAAATAGAGGACTCATTTATGTATCTGTGCTATAATAGCGTCCGTGACAGCATAGGCAGCGCCACTGAGGCAATCTCCATTTTGAAGTAGTCAATTTACTTCTTCACGATTGGCTTACCCCTCCTGATGACCTGGTTGGACATGACTCCAATAGGGTCACCAGTAGGGATCAGCAAATGAAGTCGGAAGTCCCACCCAGTTGACTACATTAAAATGGTGGGAGCCCTCAATGACACTGCCCATACAAAAATGATTCTTGGCCACTAGAGGCCTCTATCATTCTCTATGGATGCATGCCTCTTGTTGCAAACTTTTTCGGCAAACCTTCTTCCGGCTACTTAGCAATGTTCTTCCGGGTCAATTTCACCTTTTTCAAAATAAAAGCCAGCTTTATGATTTTGGATTCACAGGATGCAATGACTGTTCTGCCAGCTTAGTCACAGTGGCGTGTATTCATGGATGCCTAGGGAAGCCAAGCTTCCCCCCCCCCAAAACAGCGCTCCCTTGTCTCTGTATGTGTAGCCCATCTATCTGATGCTGTCTGGTGAAAAATATGACACTGTTGTATGGAATGCAAGGGAAGCCAGCGAGCATTTGGCCTCCCTTGATTATTTTAAAAATATAATAATAGCCAATCAGCGTTGCGCTAAACTGAGTGAGCTCAACTCGGGACTTAACATTAAATTATCTGGCAACAGCTCTGGTGGACATTGCTGCAGTCAGCATGCCAATTGCACGCTCCCTCAAAACTTGAGACATCTGTGGCATTGTGTTGTGTGACAAAACTGCACATTTTAGAGTGGCCTTTTACTGTCCCCAGCACAAGGTGCACCTGTGTAATGATCATGCCTTTTAATCAGCTTCTTGATATGCTACACCTGTGATATAGGAATCAGGTTAAAAGTAATGACTAAATGTTCCACCCTTAAATATAGATGTGAAATGTTATTGTTTTAAGTATGATTAGTACTTTCTTAGTAGTGACTAATTATTACACTCTGAAACTGTGTGAGATGTGTTAGAATCTACTACCTGGTAATGTGTGAGTGTAGGACCAGGAAAGATTATGACATTGTGCTACTATTTAGCAATGTGAGTAAGAGTTAGGCCAGACAACAAAGGACAAGGATAACTGTCTACAGGCAACTGAGAAACCAAGATAACTGAGGAATTTAGGGAGGAGAGAAACTGTTAGGCTTGTGTGTGTGTGTGTGTGTGTGTGTGTGTGTGAACTGATGGTCAGGAGAGCAATTATAAAGTGGGAAACTACAGCCTGCCTACAGAGGGGAGGGATTTTTTCTCTGACGTGTGCATATACATTTATTTTACGACCATTTTGTTTTAGAACGTTCTCATGAATAAACCCTGATGATTGTATGCTGGGCTGCTTGGTCTGATTATTAGAGATTTACAACCTCTGGGATACAGACTGAGTAATAAGTTCATTTTTTTGAAACATTGGGATAGAAATTCTCGTAACAGCTTGGTCCTTCGAGCCGGATCTCAACACCCGTTGTCTGTCGTCCCAGGGAACCCCGAAACTGTGCACGGGCGGATCTAAGATCCGTGGGACAAAGTCCTAACCTCTAAGATTGAGGGTTAATCCAGGCCGGCGGTGAACTGGTTCACGACAGGAACGGTGACGAGATCCAACCAAATTGAGTCCCAGCTACAAGAATAAGGTCAGTAGTCTTTACTCATGGGTTTTGGGGGAAATTATCTGAATAACTGTTGTAATTCTTGTAAAGGACAGAGAATGATTACCAAAAACCTCAAGGAAGTCTTGCCATCGTGTTTTTAGACGCTTATCTAGAGAAAACCGCGCGTGAGTATTCTAAATAAGTAGGAAATACTAGTGGTGTAGCAAAGGGGGGAGGGGGGAGTGGGGGGGGGTTCCGAAATAGACTCCGGGTAGAGAGGCCATTACCGAACATAAACTAGCCTTGTGTTGAGACAATGTGAAAGAGGGTTGTCAAAAGTACACCAGGAGGAATTAAAATAGTATGTGTGAGAAATATAATATTATAAGGCACAAACAACTGTAGATTAGCAGTAACTCTATCCGTTCCATGAAACTGGAGCCGTAATTTGTCTTAGTGCAAACTCCAAGTCATGAAACTGGAGCCGTAATTTGTCTTAGTACAAACTCCAAGTCATGGAACTGGAGCCGTAATTTGTCTAAGTACAAACTCCACGTCATGAAATTGGGGCCGTAATTTGTCTAAGTACAAACTCCAAGTTGCCGGTAGTGTTAACCAATAATCTTGCGTGAGACTTAATATTTGCTCAAAAGTCACATCTAAGAATACATTCCAAAGACATGGACCAAAATAGGTTGTGTGAGGAAGTAAGTAATTATAATTGACTATTTTGAGGAAGAAACATATAAGAAATTAATTAAAGATCGAATAAATCATTAAAAGCAAAATTGTAAAATTATTTAATACCTAACAACTCAGTTAAAGTGACAAAAACAATTATTAGAGAGTTGGAAGTAATCTAAATTCAAATAAAGGTGAGATTCAGGAATTTGGTAAAAGCCATAAAGTAATTGTTCAAAGTTTTGGGTATTGGACGATCAAAGAGTCTTGCCAATATGGGAAGCAAACCCTCCAAGGAGGTCCCGGGGTCAACCGGAGATGAGAGATTTATGGAATCCAGGGATAGAAGAATTCTCCATTATGTAACCAGGTGGAGGGAGAGGTATGGTTTTGAGGGACGTCTGGACGCAGATAAACTCGAATCCATGCTTAAACAGATACATAAGGTGTGTAAAGGAGAAAGAAGCAGTGAGAGAGAGAGAGAGGTCTAAGACAGAACCCACAGCTCCCCCTGTAGAAAGGTCTAGATCGAGACTATACACCTCCCTGGCAGAACAGGCCTGGAGGAATAAATCCAGACGATGAGGTGGTAGTGGTGAGGGGAAGGGTGCCACAGCAGGCTGCCATTTTGGAGTTTCCACCCCCTTACCAGAACCAAGGGGAAACTGAGGGAGCAGAGAGGGGGGTTGAGGATAAGGCAAAGGAAGATAGTACAGTTTAGGTTCTAATGAAATGTTTGGAATAACAGCAGCAACCCAAATGGTCATTGCAGAAATTAAACAGAAAAGAGAGTAATTAAACTAGAGTCCATGATTAAACAAATGCATGTAAATTGTGGTAATGATCTAAAGAAACAGAAAAGAGAGGAACAGGAGGATTCAGAGCTAAGCTCAGGAGGGAGTCAGTATGAGTCAGGAGATGAGAGAGTAGGAGGGGGCCAGTACCCACTGATAGCCTTACCTAATCTATTGGCAGGGGATGAAGTGGCCCCAGCAACCTTAGATGTTAGAGGGCAGTGGGTTTCAGGGGATGCCCAGAGGGCACTTTTGCCATGGGCCGATCACGGAGAGTATGTTGGGAAAATAACTGAATTGTGTAATAGCCTCAGAGAACATTACCATCGTCATGCAGACTTCTCTAAAGTACATGAGTGTAAACAAGAGGATAGTGAGACTGTCAGCCAGTACTTAGAGAGGGTTAAATATGTGTTTAACGCAAACAGTGGCATACCCGAGCCAGACCAGAGACAGGGGAATGATACGCCCTACCATCAGCAATTAAAAATATAGTGTTCCTCAGTGAAATGAGACCAGAGATAAGCAGGACCATTAAAAATACTTTGATAGGGTGGAGAAAAGCACAGCAACACATATTGAGGTTAAAAGGTTTGCAGTTTACCAAGAG